TATTGTGTTGATGGCACCAAATGTAGCACCATAGCACCTAACACAAGTCTTAAAGGTTGAAGGTTGTTATACCTCCAGTGTTTATGACAGATTTATATTCTAATTGTAGCAAGGGGGGAATCTAAGACTTAACTATAAGTCTTAGATTATCGAGTTTAAGCATCAGGTTGTGTTTTGTTATTCTCCTCCAACTGCTCCTCTGATGCATTTTCAGCTTTGTGTCTAGTTTTGGTGGCTCTCTTTTTATATCTGCCCTCAGAACCTTGCGTTTTACTAAACGTGCAGCTCATTTCACAGTCATAAGTTTGAATGGTTGTGCCATACATTCTTAGCCACATAACCTGAAACATGTCTTTGGACTGTTGCTTGACCTTGATAACATTAGACATAAATGAATCCTAATGTTTTTAAGATCAACTTCACTTGAACTGCTGTTTGCACTTCCTGTATTAAAGCGTGTCTATGTATCCTTTGTCTGCTTTAGCAAACAGGTTTTATCCAGGTTGGATTTCGATCCACCTTCCAGCGCCTCTAGATCCTTATTTTGTGTGCCGAACCTTGTTAGAGCAGCAATTAAACACGTCCTGAGATCCTGAAATAAGACCCCAAGGTGCATATTTGAAAGGTGTAATAATGTAAAAAAAACTGCAAATATTTGTATTCATCGAGCAGCTACAAATAAATAAAGACTATAGTCAGCTGCCTCTCCGGTGAGTTTCTCCTTCTGCAGAGGAACTAAAACAGTAGTCCTTGTTTTACACTGCGGCTTCAGTGTTCTCGGTGTAACATCCATGTGCCAGTTCTAGACCTGCTGTAGGTTTTAGTTGAACTGGAGTTGTAATCTGTCCAATAGCAGAATACGATCCTCTCTGGAAAGATGCAGCAGCAACTGGTCACTGCTGTGGCTCGCAGCGACCGAACAGTGGGACAAGATAAAAGCTAAACCGAGTCACCAAATGGGCCGGCTGGTGATCCACTGACCTCTGCTGGTGATGCTCTCCTGGTTGACCTCACTCAGGTGGGCGACGCTGCCCTGGTTGGAGCCGGCTCCCATGCTCTCCCCGTCCATCGAGTTCCAACCGAACAGAGTCGCCTCGGAAATTGCAAACTGTTGCATGATGCCTGAAGATGGAGATAAACGATGCATGTAGCAAGAATGAAAAGATCCCAGACTCGCTAAAACATCATGAACGTGAAGCAAGTCCCAGTTCCTGCTCTGGTACCACATACACATGTTAACTAATGATACAAACAAATGTGATAACAACAGTCATTAATATGGATAAACAGCAGGTTTGTGTTGGACTGGAGGAGAATACTGAGGGTTTATTAGACTCATTTTCAGAGAAAGTGCATCACCCTGTTTTTTCTCTGTGCTGCAGTCATCAATTACCAGCAACAGCTCAGCTAAATATTACCTAAAAATCTGATCAATGTGTCATTTTCTGAAACAACACAAGGTCGACTTCGTTTTGTTTTAATAAATAGCTGCAATGTTCTGAAAGTGACTGCCAAGTATTTGTTATAAGTTTAATAAATCTTTTGTATTCATGTAATTCCAGCCATTAATCAGCATGAGATGAACAAATTTGTAGGATAGATTGATTGTGAATAAAATATGGACGCACAGTTGTGGTCTCTGAAAGAATTAGGAAAAATTGGAAAGGATGTAAGTTGTTTTTTAAAACAATTTGCCATTTGTTATTTATGTTTACTAAAAAGCCTTTAATCTTATATACATAATGACAACCTGCTCATGCAACAGACAACCATGAAGTCATCCAGTTGTGTTGTTGAGCAACACTTTCAACCTCTGGTTGCGCGTCACAAGTGCAAGGTCATTGCAGAGGTTGCATGGCGGGAGGCGACCTGTCTCCAGACAACGGTGGTCCGACTTGGACTCACTGCAGTTTCTTTCAGAAAGATTAGTGATGATTTGCAAACGCAGACACTTCAGCAAAACTCATCTACGATGCAGCTTTTTGCAATACAGGACTCAACTCAGCTGTTTGTCCTCGTGGTTGTATTCTGGG